AAGGCAAAGCAGGCAGCCAAACTAATCAACTGTCAGATTTCAATTTTTAATCATTGATTGTTCCCTAGCTAGTTCCAGCTTTATTAGCTGACCTGACCTGATGAACTAAAGAAAACCAGCGCATCAATTTATGTATGCATCAACAAGATCAATCGAAGCCATCATGTCGATCGATCGCAGCAGCAGCAGCATTATCTAAGAATTTCAGAGTTAACGGTAAAGCGAACCAAGGCATGGCGTCTAAAGCGCGTGATGAGGTGACCTTGTCTATGATCACCTCGGGTGGTGGCCGTGGAAGAATGGCGCGCCGCCGTAAGCACCGTACGGGCCGGGCGTGGGATACGGGTCCATCACCACAGCTGATGACGACACTGCGGCGGCACCCGTAGATCCGCTGCCTCCTTCGGCGCCGCCAGCAGCTGCCGTGCTTGGGGAGGAACCTTCGGCGGCGTGGTGGCCGGCGCGGGTCCCGCCGGTGATGGAGGTGTCTGGGCCTACGTCGTGCAGGATGCCCTTGAAGACGTGGCCGCCGATGCTGACGGTGGTCTGGTACGCCACCTCGGCCTCGGCTTCGTCGACCGGGCCCAGCCGCACACAGCGGAACACTGCCTCTGAGCTCACCTCCCGCGGGAACCTGTCGGCCGCCATCATCTGCTGCTGATGCTCCCCTAAATCATCAACCATTTAACACACTAGATTCCATCAAGCTCACGATCTCTCGCTCTTTTGAGCTGAGCTGTACAAAAAGGAAAGAGAAATAGCTAGCTAGTGTGGTCTGTGGTGTGGGTGCAGTGCAGTAGATACTAGACTATAAGAGAGAGTACCTGAAGAAGTAGTGGTAGGCGTGGCGGAGGAGGGCTGGCCGCCTTCGCGAGGGCGCTTGGACGGCTCGGCGGAGGCCTGCCCCTGCGGCTGCTGGTGATGTCGCTCGCGGCGGCGGGCGGCAGGGACCCACGTCGACTTGACGTGGGTGGCGCAGTCGAAGCCGCGGCTCTTGCAGCAGGTGCGGCAGCGCATGTGGGGGCAGTCCTTCTTGGCCTGGTTGCCGCAGTCCTGGCAGCTGATTGTGCCCGCCCCAGACCCTCTCCCTCCGCACCGCGACGAAGACCCGGAGGCGGCCGGGTCATCGGCGAAGCGGATGATGCTGGAGGAGGCGCCGCCGTAGAACGGGTGCTGCTGCTGCTCGTGCTGCGGCTGTGGCTGCCCCTGCCATAGCTGGAACCCGCCGCGCGATGGGGTGGTGGCGTAGAGGAAGGCGGCCGCAGAGGAAGACGACGAGGGGTTGATGCCGGGAGGGTGGCTGCCGTCGTCGTCGCGTCCGCCGCGGCTGTGGTGGCCTCCTCCGCCTAGAGGGAATCCCGCCATGCGCCCAGATCCATAGATCACGTCTGTATCGCCCGGCCTCTACTCTGTACGCCCGAGTCCCCGCGGCATGCGTGAAAAATCTACTCCTTGGCAGCACCTACGCGCCTGCTCGTCTCCGATGTCTCGGCGCGGCAGCTTGATCGAGCTGCTGCCTACTGCGTGCTGCGGCTACTGGTAGCTGGCTCGTGTGTAACCGCGCGCGGTGGGTTAAATTTTTGGCTTGTCTGGGCGTACGGTGGTGGTGGGGGTGGGGAGGACGGGGACGGACGGAGGCAGCTTTTTGGGGGAGAGGAGAGTGATGGAGGAAAGGGAAGGGAGGGAGTTAAGATAGGGGAAGGAGGCGACAGAGAGGGCCTGCCACGCCGCCAACGAGCCTGCTGCACGCTCCCATTTATTTCCCGAGCCCGGCCGGGTTGCCTCGCCGTCTCGCTCTCTACCTCTGATTCTCTGATGGTGCTGTCAACTTCGGAAAACAAAACACACGTCGCTGTTGCAAAAACAAATGAAAACAGGTGCGGTGCAGTGAAACAAAACAATTGCTCCGACTATGGAGCGGTACGTACGTACCAGCTGAACAAGACCCGTTTCGGAAAATGTAACGTTTCCAACTGGCCGAGTGTTGTGCCGGTCGTGCGGGGCTCGTTGGATCTCTCCGGATCTCAAGATCCTCGTTGTGCCATGTTTCCCTTGGAACGTCCGACATGTTCCTTCCACGGTTTTTGCTGCAACCGTTCAGAGAGGTTGCAAAACATTCCGCGTGAGGGGCTGTGAAAATGACAAGAAGACACAAAAGGTCTACCACCCTCCCGCTCGCCCCCCGCGAGGCGACGGGAGGAACCCTACCGCGCCACCGCCAACTCCTTTCCCCGCCCCCTCCTCCTCCCTCGCCGCCGCCAGAGGGCACGGCGCCCGGCCGCCGCCGGCGGTAGCGAGGCCTCCTTGTCCCCCCTCCCAGCGGCCTTGGCGTGGGCCGACGCGGCTGCATCAGGGTGCCTCGCTGTCCTAGGGCAAGGCGGCGCTGCGGCGTGGTGATGGCGCTGCGCGTGGCGATGGCGCGACAAGCGGGGTGTCGGAGGGCGCGCCGGTGCGTGGAGCGACGGGGGCGGCGAGCGGCTGGTGCGGGCGGTCTTGGCAGCGGGCGGATCTGGCGTGGAGGCGGTTGCGACGAGGCAGAGCGTCGGTGGCGAGCTCCGGTGGCCCGGGCCGGCTTCTGGCTTGGCGCTGCGGTGGTGCGGGTCGTGGGCGACAAGGATCTGTGGGCGGCCGCCCTGCCCTGGCTTCGGGCTGGTGGGGGTGGCGGCGCAGTGGTGGTGGCTGGCGGAGCATGTTGGTCGAGTTCGCGTCGGAACCTTCCTGGTCTAGCGTTCGGACGTCGGCAGACGATGCGAGGAGGCATATCCAGTGAGCTTCCATGGCTGCGGCTGCTGGTTGATTTGGTCTCCCTCGTCGGCGGGCACGTGGTTGCCGATGGCCTCATGGAGATGTGTGTCAGCTACCATGGTGGGGCGACATGGGGGTGCTCGCGGGGGAGCTTGGTAGGAGGGATAGGTGGCCTCGAGGCAGTCGCGCCACCTGCCGCCGGCACGGTTTGCCGGTCCGGATGCGTCCGCTCCTACTTCCCCCCTTTCCCCATGTTCGACAGGGAGCTTGGTTGGAGGGATATGTGGTCTCGATGCGGTCGCATCACTTGTCGTCGGCACGGTTTGCCGGTCCGGATTCGTCCGCTCCCCTTTCTCCCCCTTTCCTCGGCCGCGGGCAGGGTGGCGTAGGTTTACCAGCGGAGCGTCTGTGGGTGATTCAGTCCGTCGAGGATCGTCGGTTGGTCCAAAGCTGGGGCCTTTGTGTAGGTCTCGGGGTTGTCTGGTTGCAGGGCGGCAGCTCTGGCGGGTTTGGCAATGGGAAGTGAATGTGGACCCCTCAAATGCAAACGACAAAGCATTGGAAAAAGCTCCAAGAGTCTACCTTTTTTGTTAAGTGATCCGAGATCACATTGAGTTCATAGGAAAGCCAATACAATTAAAAGGGGACCAAATATTGATCATGAATAATTTCCTCAAGTGCTTAGAGATACTGCTCCAAAACCCTCAGCCATACCCTCACATTTCTATCTGTCCAAAACCCTAAATTCAATCTCGGTCCCGCCAATACACATCCATCCCAACTTACCGAGATACACTTGACATAGCCACTTCCTAAACCCTAGCAATTTGGTCTCACCGAGATGACATTTGGCCCCATCAAAGTACGCTTGCCAACCTTCTGTAACCTATCGATTTCATCTCATAATTTCCAAGTGGTTTCAATCGGTGTCATTGAAGTGTGGAAAGTGTTTAGGTCATCACCCATCGGTCTCACCGAGCTATTTCATCCGGTCTCACCAAAAAGCCTAAAGGTCAAACCTTTTGCACTAGTCAGTCTCCCCGACTGATTCCACCTGATTCCATCGAGTTGTGCATAAAGGTGTAATGGTTAGATTTTTTGTGCGGCCTATATATACCTCACCCATTCTGCCAACTCTCAGAGAGAGAAACCAGGATGAAGCTACCACTTCCCATGTCCATTTTCTGTGAGAGAACCACCTATACTTGTGTTCAAATCAAGGGGATTCCACTCCAACCTTTGATCCTTGATTTTTAGCCCCTCCCCGAGTGTGCCCTCGACATACACGCCACCAACCTCGATCCTCAGCCTTGCCCACCACCACCCCGCATGCACGAGCTCCCCCTCGCGACCATTCGTAGGACTCATTGACCTGTAAGAGCTAGATCGATCCACATCCATGTGTACTAGTGCATTAGTTAGCTATATTCTGTAGGTTAATTTGATTTTTATTTATAGTGTATATATAATTGTACTTTAGGCATGTTCTTAGTTTTTGTAGGTTTAATTGTAAGATTTATTTTGTAGTGGGGGTTAGGTTTTATTTGTAGTGTCGGAGTTTATTATTAGTTTTATTTGAGAGAGCTATGAAGAGAAGTGGGAAGAACAAGAGAGAGAATTGGATATATAAAATAGATAAAGAGAAAAGAAAGAAGAGGGAAGAGAAAAGGAGTAAAAATGAAGAAGAAAATAGAGAAAGAGAGAAGAGAGAATGCCAAGAACTGAGAAAAGAGATAAAACAGAGAAAAGAGAAGAGAGAAGAGAAACAGAAAAAATTGAGAGAGGAAACAGTGAAAATGAGAAGATAGAAGAGAGTAGAAAGAAATGAGAGAAAGAGAGAATGTGCCTCTATACTAGCTAGAAGAATCCATATGTTCACTCTATAAGTGCATCTATTGACCCCTTTATATATTTGGAGTATTGATGACAAATAAGGATTAGGGACTAATGTGTCTGTGAGTATGCACAAGAGAAAGTCCCTGAAGATTTGGTTTAACCATCTAATACAACCCCTAAAAATGTATGACATACATTCAAGAAATTGGTCGTTTTGTTAGAGCTTTTCCAATGTCAAAGTATCTCTTCCTTAGACCATGAGATCGTGTAACTCCCGGATACCGTAGGAGTGCTTTGGGTGTACCAAACGTTGCAACGTAACTGGTTGACTATAAAGGTGCACTACAGGTATCTCCGAAAGTGTCTGTTGGGTTGACACGGATCGAGACTGGGATTTGTCACTCCGTATGACGGAGAGGTATCACTGGCCCACTCGGTAGTGCATCATCATAATGAGCTCAAAGTGACGAAGTGTCTGGTCACGGGATCATGCATTACGGTACGAGTAAAGTGACTTGCCGGCAACGAGATTGAACGAGGTATTGGGATACCGACGATCGAATCTCGGGCAAGTAACATACCGTCTGACAAATGGAATAGTATACGGGGTTGCTTGAATCCTCGACATCGTGGTTCATCCGATGAGATCATCGAGGAGTATGTGGGAGCCAACATGGGTATCCAGATCCCGCTGTTGGTTATTGACCAGAGAGCCGTCTCGGTCATGTCTGCATGTCTCCCGAACCCGTAGGGTCTACACACTTAAGGTTCGGTGACGCTAGGGTTGTATGAATATGAGTATGCAGCAAACCGAATGTTGTTCGGAGTCCCGGATGAGATCCCTAACGTCACGAGGAGTTCCAGAATGGTCCGGTGGTAAAGAATTATATATAGGAAGTGCTGTTTCGGCCATCAGGAAAGTTTCGGGGTCACCCGGTATTGTATCGGGACCACCGGAAGGGTCCCGGGGGTCCACCGGGTGGGGCCACCTATCCCGGAGGGCCCCGTGGGCTGAAGTGGGAGGGGAACCAGCCCCTAGTGGGCTGGTGCGTCCCCCGTTGGGCCCCCCTGCGCCTAGGGTAGGAAACCCTAGGTAGGGGGGGGGGCACCACTTGCCTTGGGGGGTACTCCACCCCCTGGCCGCCGCCCCCCTTGGGAGATTGCATCTCCCAGGGCCGGTCCCCCCTGGGGGCCTATATAAAGGAGGGAAGGGGGAGGGAAGCCGCACCCTGTGTCTTGGCGCCTCCCTCCCCCTGCTACACCTCGTCCTCCTCCCGCAACAGCTTGGCGAAGCCCTGCCGAAGTTCTGCTGCATCCACCACCACGCCGTTGTGCTGCTGGATCATCATCAACCTCTCCTTCCCCCTTGCTGGATCAAGAAGGAGGAGACGTCATCCGCTCCGTACGTGTGTTGAACGCGGAGGTGTTGTTCGTTCGGCACTTGGTCATCGGTGATTTGGATCACGGCGAGTACGACTCCATCATCACCGTTCTCTTGAACGCTTCCGCACGTGATCTATAAGTGGTATGTAGATGCAATCTCTCTCCTATGACTCGTTGCTTAGATGAACTCATAGATGGATCTTGGTGAAACCGTAGGAAAATTTTTAATTTTCTGCAACGTTCCCCAACAGTGGTATCAGAGCCAGGTTTATGCGTAGTTCTCTATTGCACGAGTAGAACACAATTTTGTTGTGGGCGTAGATCTTGTCAACTTGCTTGCCGCTACTAGTCATTTCTTGCTTCAGCGGTATTGTGGGATGAAGCGGCCCGGACCGACCTTA